TTACGGCTTCATGTATGGCTTCTATGATAACGCGAAAATTGTTATAAATAATTTATCCAATGCCTAACGTCTCGTAACACGCTGATCACCTGGTCACGGCGCCGGCCATACGTAGAGAAACCATGATAAGATCAGTCTCGTTGGTGTCCGTGTATTCAGCTTCAGGATCGCCACCGAACCCGATCGTTCCGCGTGGGTGGCCTACCACCCCTTCCAACCTCCACACCGCAACCTTCCACCACCATCGGCCGTGTGGTGTGGTACGGTGTGGTGTGTTCACGCAGACCTCTCTTCTCCTCGGATGATGAATGATCCCCGCGTACCCCACGGCCCCTTCCTCTACGCGACTCGCACCCTGTCGCGGTCCTACCGGCTCTCCACGTCCAGCTTCGGCCAACGTGTTCGTTCGCCCTTCGCCGCGCCATTCCACCATGATACACTCCCCTCTCACATCCCCCGACCCCGTCATCGAGCAACCTCGCTCTGGTAGGTTTCGCTCGCTTCCTCTCCCCCTGCCAGAGCACGCTCGTTTTATTTCTCGTTTATTTTTCCCACCCGCAAACCGTCGAGATGCAATTTGCATCCGAGCTGCTGCTGTTGCCGCCGTCGTCCCAGCCGGTTGCCGCGAGCAACAACCGGCGTAGAAGCGAGCGACTCACCACCAAGGGAAAATTATTTGCCGGGAGAAAGGAAATTTTATAAGTTCGAGACTGTACCCAAACATCAATACGAATCGTTCTATTATCTTCTCGCTAAGAAGCGGAAAAAAAATAAGATCGACTAAATTCGCTACATATCTTGCTAATAAACTATCGCTGTTATATCGCGAAATTAGTACAAAGTAAACTCGCTACAATATTTTAGCCCTTTGAAGCTGACGCCAAAATCTGTAACAAGATTATTAATTCTGAGTCTATAAAGACCATTTATATAATTTACATTAATAAAAAGCCACTAATTAATTTCGAAACCAAAATAATATATCACATAAAAAAAAAGAATGCTAAGTACATTTTAATAAGAATAATCCAATTTTGAATAAAGGAATTGAATTGTTTGACATTTTTTATAAAAAATTGTATAATTGAATGGGTGCAATAGACTTACCACCAGCTTCGTAGGATTAAATCAATATCTCATTATCATCTTTCATTGACAATTTTGATGTAATTTATTCCGACGATATTAATGTAATTTATTGCGATACCTAAAAAAACATACAGTGATGTTATTTGACTTTTGGAGGATGATTGGGCATTATGTTCGATGTTCACGCATGCTGAAACCTATATAATCACGACAATAATCTACGAAAAGAATCTCTCTGAATCCATATTGTACCCGCATGGTTGTAATATCCCGATTAACAACGCGCTTCAAGTAAATCCACACGACTTTCGAACGCGGAGTTAAGTGGATACAGTAGTCGGTTAAATAGTAGACTTCGCCACGGGTGACAACTGTGAAAGACGACGGTGACATGTCTTAGCAACCGCTCAAAAAGCACCATGAAAAGTGCTGCAGGGTGACGGAGAAGAAGCAAGAGGGATGGGGAACTGTTCCGGAGAACTGGCTTGTTCCTGCGGTTCACAAAAGAGATGACTTGACGACTTGTGCGTGAGTTAAGCTTTCTCTATCCGGCTACCTGAAAACGACCCGAATGATAAAGGAAGAAAGAAAGACTGAGGGCGAGTGCCTGCTTCATATTTTATACTTTTAGGGATCCTTTATGTGCTTAACCACCCAGCGTGTCGAATAGAATTCGGAAGGCTGGATATATACGCGATAGATATTTTGACATGCCCGAGAAATTAGTATAATAAAGGGGGCTAAAAGTAAAGCGTCTAAGTGACTAAACAGACACCGTAAATTTCCCCTTCTCTCTCCGCTTCTCCGTCTCGCCGGTCCTGTCGCTGATCCGCAAACGTACCCGCCGATTGGGTCGCCATCGAAATTGTTTCTTCGAGGGCCACTTTGTGGCGTTTGATCGATCGAGATGCATCTTAGACGCAGCCTCCAACGGTCCCCATCGCGTCATCGACGCGTTTTATTACCGCTCGCTGTAACGTCTAACTTTTCATCTCTCCACCACTCCGTTTCATCGCGCTTTTGACGATAATGGTCGCGGAATTCGACTGCATTTTACCGTTCTCGAAACGCGGTATCCGCGGTACGTGCTTTGAGTAAAAATTTATGTGAAACACTGAGGCGAAGACAACAATTTCTGACGTAACAAAATGTCGATGGTGTTAGTGACGTGTTCGTCAACTTTTAATATCTATAAATGTCAATATGATATTTAATAGATGTTATAGTAAGTATAGAGATTTTTAATTAAAATTTAAAAAATTTAATTGCAAATATTTTTTAAGGAAATAACCTATTTTTACAGAAAATATATGCTTTCCATATTCGACATTAGTATTATTCTGCCTTTGTTATTCATTGAATACTAAAAATAGGACGATTCATGTCGATTTATGTCACTAAATGAAAAGCACTCATAATTTTCTTTTATAAGATTCTTCCGTTAGACTACTTCCGTTTTAAAAGATACAGTCAATATAAGCATTATTCTTTCCTTTTTAGCATTCAATATAAAGGTAGAATGACCGTTGTGTCGATTGTATTTCCTGAAAAGAAAGTTATATAATTTATAGGTTAGTTATATAACTAGTTATACAACTTAGGTCAATAGGTCTTCCTTTTCCAAAGAATATTCTGACCTACACTGATGCAGCAAGTTAAAAGGAAACGAATATAATTTGTTGCATCAGGGTATGTATACTAATTCGGAACATTTTTTGTTCAAAAAAGGATCCTATTGTTGAATTATAAACAGTTGAATTATAAACAGAATTATAAAATATAATCGAAACCTTTCTATTTTTTTATAAAATTTACAAAGTGCACTTTATAAGATTTTCTATGATTCTCACTTTTTTGTTTCTTCACTTTCCTTCTTTTAAAAAATTTTTTAATACATATAGTATAGTATAATATATTTTTTTTACACTGTTAAAAATAAAATGTTAATTTTAATATTTTTACATGTTTGAAAAAGTCAGTTTTCAAGTTAAAATTAACTTTTTATTTTTAATAGTGCAAACAATAGAAATAGACATATGTTAAATAATAATATATGTTGCTAATTCTAATGTAAATAAAAATATTTCTGATGTAAAGAATAGCTAAATGGCACATGAATAAATATACTTTGTATAGTAAAGGAACAAGGTCTCGTAACACTCCAGAAAACGGAAATCGTGATGAGGGCATTATCAATCATGTCACAGATGATGGAAAGGTCGGCGCAATCCTGGCGTAACGATGGAATACGTGAGTTAGCGTCAAACGGAAAAACTATGGAATAGACACGTGTATTACGGCGGTCTAAGTAACTCCCCAAAGATACGATCTTTTTCGTCGCAAATTACAACGTACGGCGTAAACGGATTGTACACTGTCGACGGTTATACCATCCGGCAGGTCCTCATGATTATTCCCAGCACAAACAACCCTCCTCGTTTTCTAGAAGCGCTCGCGAAAGCTTTTAGTATTACGTGCTGGCGTATCCCATCGCATCCCTGGTTTTCGGCTTAAATAAATTCTCTTCATGCTATCGCTGCCCTTCTCCGGGAAAATCAACGCGAGAACACCTCCGTCAGAGGCGTACAACCGCATGTATCGCTTGAACTGTGATTATCGAAAGTTTTAATTTTCCTCAAACAAACTTTTACATATCCGCTTTTATCACACGTGAATGTTATTAGATCTGTTCTTTGTGTTCTCTGAACTAATATACATTTGTACACTAAAATTTTATTTGTGTTAAAATAAAATAGATATGTCCCAAGCAAAATAAGTTATGTTATATTAATATAATATTGAAGTGAATCATTATAACTAATCAAAAAATGACTTTTAATTATCATTTTGGAATCATTTCGATATTATTTTGACACCGTGATGACTTTCTACCCAACCACATTATCCGAGAATAAATTAAAAACGTATCCGAGGATATTTCTAAAAACGTTCTCTTTAAAACGTCCTTCAAAGATTTGTGTTGTATATACGTGTGTTCTATTATATTTGAGATTTTAATAAAAATACTTAAAACTTGATAAAAAGCGAGAAAGGAATTTTCGATGCAGCTCAGTGTAACGACAAAGAATAGGCCCAATTATCATGCTCGATAGGATAGTTGAAACACTCGTTTAACTTACACAACAACGATCTAAAGTTACAACGAATCATCAAGTCAAGTCTCCCCATCTTTGTTTTACTCCGACAGGGTAAATCGTCTAATTAGACAGCATCTATTAACTGTGCGCCAGTGGTTTAGGTGTTTGCGTTAATCAACAGACAGGAAATCATTCTTACACTCCTGTAATTCTTGCCCCTCGCAGCCTCGTTCTACGCCACTGCGAGTGCGGCGGAGGTACATACGTAGATACATATACGAAGGCCGGCCATCCGACGCGAGAGGTCGATCGATCTCTCTTTCGTCGTTGCGCGGCCACCGTGTCGCTGCCACGCCACTCCGAGATACCCACGTCGTCGTCGTCGTCGCCGCTGGGTGGGGAAAGTCGGTGTCAGGTTTGACGGTGGTGGTGGTGGTGGTGGTGGTTGTGTTGCTGGTTTACAGGGTGTGGCGAGCGAGGAGAAGCGCCTCTCCCTCACGCGCCGCCTTCATCGAATCACGTGATCCTGCAGTTAGGTTGACGGTTCGACGAAGGCAAAGAGAAAGAGAAGGCCTAAATGGTAAAGCGTTCCTGCCAACCGCCAAGCCCCGCCCATCCGAGCCGGTCGATACTGCGCGCGCAGTAGCTCTTCTCCTGTTGTCACGCTGCGCGAAATCGCCGTGCTTCCACGGTGCCAGTGGTGGGGCAGTCGGTGCGCGTGGGAGGAGGAACGGTTAGCCAGTGGAGTCCGGGAAGTCGACCAGCGCAGACGCGTTGTTACGTTGTTACGTTCCTCGTAAAATCCAGGCGGCAGGAATCGACAGCGACGATCAATCCGTCGTGACGACGTAGCGTTTCGTAATCCAAGGTGGACAGTGATTCGCGACCTACCGGAACGTCCTCCGTAACAACTGGATACCGCTCTCTCGCGTTTGTTTCAAGGGGAGAGGTGGAGGCGCCTCTCTCTCGTTGCCACGAGCCATCATGTCGATACGAAGGAACGCCTGGTGACACAAAGAGGACAAAGAGAAGAAGAAAGGACAACGAGAGAGTTTAATATGCCTTATTGCATGTGAGGGTGGTGGTTCTCTCGACTTTCCTTAAAGAAGAGAGGACCTCGCGACGGCGAGATAAACCGTCGAGAAGACATTAGGGACAGGGAGAAAGGACGGATCGATCGAAGCAAGAAGATTGGAGTAACGAGAGACTGAACGCGTACGAGTAAGTGTCGTTGCGCGCGCGAGGAGGGATGCATACGAAGGGGGAGAGGGGAAAAGCGACGGACTTCAGCATCGCGGCCATCATGGCGCCCAGGGGTCCGTCCTTCGGGCATTACCACCTGCAGGGCATCGGCAACGCTGCTACCACCGCTAATACCAGCCTAGAATGCCCAGCCGGATTTGTTGCTGAGTCGACGTTGGATCATTGTAAGTGAACCTCTTTTTTTATAGAATATGATGATATATAGAAATCACCAACTTCTTAAAAAATATTCATCCTTGATTTAAATACTTCCATAATCTTTATATATTAGGCGAGACTGTAATACCTGTATAGGGACTGTGATACCTTTCTACATTTTATCAGAGATATCTTGAAAATGTCCTTAGGACATTCAAAGAACACAGGGCTATCATTTAAACATCTTTAAGACATTCTTTAGAGGTCTATAATGTATGGATTGGGAACACTAACTATTTTTTTAACAATAACAAGATTTTTTAATGTTGGCTGCTAAGTTATATACTTTTTAACTGAAGTAACTGAGCACAGTCAGCATTAAGAATAATTATTACTACAACATAATTAGCGTATCCCAAAGTACATACAATATATCTTATATAATATATATAAGTATCATAGACTTTTTTACATATCATTTATGAAAATAATCATGGAGTCCATAAAATCGAGTACATGTTAATCTATCTTCAATCGAATTCACAAAGCAATATAATCTTTTATGAAAAGATTTATCATTTTTGCTTTAATGGCAAATAAAAAGAACTTTTGAAAAGCAGAAGTGACATTCACATTTCAGAGTAGCTTGATCAATTATTACTTATCAATACTTGGATAACGTTAATCCTACAAAAATCAGTTTGTTGTTGATAGGATGAAGGCTAACATAATTTCAGCTAAATGATAAGATAAGAACATTGACAAACAAGAAATCTTTAATCATTTGTAGATATTGAACCGCTTCAATAGAGACAATACTCGTTTGTTATCAATCAAAATTTTGTGAATTTTCATAAACGAGTTCTTCGAAAATGGAGTCGTTGGTTCCGTTGTTGCCGATTACTTTCTTTGATTTGAAATATTTATACATTTGACATTTCCAAACTGTGAGGTGCGACAATGGAAAGCGTGAGAAATAAACTATCGCAAACGGAACGCGGACGCGAAGAAGAAGCGAAGCTGATGGAAATGTCAGACGTTGAAGTGATAAACGCGAACGCGGCTCGTTCCGTGCGTCGCTGCCGGCAGCGATGGTCGTAAACGGTGGAACGCACTTTGCAACATCGTCGTAAAACAATTTAATCGTATCCTCACGATGTCGTAAGATACTGTAATGTAGTCTGTCACGAAGACAGATCCTAATTCTGTATAGTCGAGAACGAAAATGTGCTCAAGAAAATTCGTTCGTCTTGATTTTCATTGGATTGCTGTCTTCTTCATATCGAGTCAGCATTTTCGTTCACGATTGATCGTAAAGTTTTAATAGCAGTTTTAAAACTGATTAACAATCTTTTGAGAAATTCTACACGAACAAGTTAAAGATAGCAGAGAAGAATAGCATAAAAATTCTTCATATTTTGTTAAAATAAAATTTGTTGTGTGCTTTATTTTTATAATATTGAGAAGAAATTCAAGAAATACATGCAATTAGTTTAGAAAACGAGTTAAATATCAAATTGTTAAAAAAGTATTGCTATTTGTATGAAGCCTGGATAATCTTTTTTCAAATCTTCTTCTTGATTCTTTTTTTATCTCTCTTTTTTGCCTTATTTATCTTATATTTTATCTATTCCGTTAAAAATTATTATTATTCTCAGTAATTTAAAGAATTCTAATAATTGTATGCCTATTTGAAGAACGACACGTACTTTAACACGTACTTTATGTCACCACAGAAAATTTGATTTAATGAATCAAATCATCTCGCATGGTTGTTAGCGCTGCAATAAAAGTCTTTTCGAGTTGCAAGAGGTTAAGTTACGGGTTCATCTTGGGGATAACTGAGTTTACGATTTAACGAGCTTATTTAGAGCTTGTTGGTGTTAGAGTATTTGTATGGCGCCTTCCGTTCTGTCCGCCACGTTACGACACGCTTTTCTATCCGACGGCTTGCGATTCGTCGGAGGTGAACAGGCTATTACATATTCGCATCTGTTAACTTCAACATTTAAACTATTAGCCAACTATTAGCAAAACATGCGCACATATTCAAGTCCATAATTATAATTATCTTTAATAATGCATCTACAAACATTTTCACAAACACAACTGGTATATAATTAGATATTATTTATTAAAATTTTTATCAGTAAATTAAATTAAATATCTCTCTCTGGAATATATTAATTTTAGATTTTTATAATCCTGAACTTTTTTTTCTTTATTTCCTCGTTTTGGGATTTTTTAAATTCTTTAATCATAATATCAAATAATTATTTTTCGAAAGATATTTGAATTAAAGAAAAAAAGTTTATTAAAACTGCGAAAAATAAGATAAGCAACTAGTTTCTGTTTTCTGCTAGTTCAGTTTAGGAGTGTTGATCGCTCCATTCCGTTAATTAGGAATACGCGATTCGCCGAACATACGATAATGGAAGAAAAAAGCGTCGTTTGGCAAGCTGTGCGATAATTTGCCGAAATAGCATCAGTTGCGTTCATGCAACAGGAACGTCGGGCCACGGCCGCTACCGACGAAATCGCTGCCAACAAATCGTGCGTAAATTTTACCTGTTCGCACCAGAATTAACGAGCGTCCTCTAGACACGTTAAGCAGATGGTGATCTAGCGAAATCGGATTCTCGAGTCCCCTTTAAGCAGATTTATGGTGCTTTTCGGCGACGAAAGAAACTCGATGTAAATTGGGCACAGGGATTCTTCGTAGCTAGGAAATGTGTTATGCAAACAGCGCTTTGTCATTTCTTAGATTAAAATTATCTTGTTACAAATTTAGTGGAAAATTTTATCTGCGTGTAATTTTGTTTAAGAATTAATAAAATTAGATTTTTCTCAGTATATAATGCTTTTTAGATTTTTTAAATATAATATTTTTCGTGCAAAGATCGTATGATTGAAGTACAGAGTATTAATAAGATTGTGACATTGTTAAAATATGTACAACAATAAAATATAATAAAAGTATGGACAAATAAAAATATATAATAAAAAAAAAACAAAAAAAAAGCAATAAGAGTCAAGATATGCAAATATCGATGGGCAAATTATATGAAAATATATAATAATAATGTTTAATTATTTGGTATCGCAATCGCTTTGTTGCATTGCTTAAAAATATACGAAAATAAAGTTCATAAAAATCGTAATCTCTGTAAAAATCGTAATGTCTGTTCTTATTTTTTAAGATAACTTGATAGTTATTCGCAGATATAATGCCACAATAGTAAATTGAATATAAATTTCCATTACTTTCACACGATTAGAAATACATAAAAAATTTGTAGATTTGAACTCTGGTATTGGAAATCGGAGTTTGTACACACAATTTAAAGTTTACATTTTATAAGCTACCTTCAAACGCTTGCCTTTATTTTATTACTTGATAAATTCTCATTCTCTCACACATTCTTCCTGTCTATGTTAATTCGCTACTTGCACCAATTGAACCAAAAGAATTCGCGTTATTCTACGATTGATATGATTTATCGACGATTCTATGACCGATATGTGGTTCTCAATGCTCTACTTTCACCTATCTTATTCACAGTTGATATCTAACTTGATACTTATCTTGATAAGACACAGAAATGATCTTGTTGAAGTATCTAAAAATTTAATTAGATATAAATCTGAAAATAATTTTGCGCTATAGAAATAATTATGTAGGATGCTCAAATTAATTACTAAAATATTAAAACTTTTTGCAACATGTCAGTAATACTTAAGCATTCTTTATACTTATTTTAATAATCTAAATAAAATCTTTTTCAGATCTATATCTAGTTGGATTTTTAAATATTTCAAAACAAAAATTCTTTATGTATTTATTGATTCTAGACATCAGCAAACATATAATATATTGTATACATGTAGTATAAATGCTTAGACCTGACAAAGCGAAAAGCGGTCTTATTATGTTTTCTGTTTACATCTTAGGACAAATAAATCGGGTAACGAACAGTTTAGCGAGTAGCAAACTGTCAATGGTAGTCGGAATCGTAGCGTTGACGAGAGTATTCGGTTTAAGTACGATATAGTAGTGCGGACAAGTAATTTTATGAAATTGCATTGAGAAGAATTGGGCTTTCTGAGAGTACTTTCAGAGAGTGATAAACGGAATTATTTAAAAAGATTTGATCGTGATTCATGTTTATTGTAAATATACAATGTGATTAGAATAAAGTTTACATGTTGTCAAATTTGATAAAGCTGATCCTAACAAAGCTTTACTATATTTCTTATAAACGTGAGTATTTAAAAATCATAGAAGTTCTAAATTCTTAGACGAAGTGTGTTGAAAGTCTATTTTCTTACAAAACGCCCATAGAAATGTGCCACACAAAGGAAGATAAGAGAGTTCGTTAGAGAGCTAAATGAAACTTTAAGTGTACGTTATTTTCAGTTCTAGAACTGATCATCAAGAATGTTGAGAAAAAGCCAAATATCCATATTATGAAAAAGCTAGTCTAAAAGTTTATACATTTAAAAACTGCGTACCATTCTAGCTGATAAAAAATATCAAAAATTCCGAAGTATCAACTAAACATAATCTCTTTAAAAAAATTCATATGTCGGGAGAGCGAGAATTTTTTCCCGGCGATGAAAAACATTAAAGGTGTGTTTAATTATAAAAAAATCCTAAGCTACTTATTGCGAGACAATCGTTGTGAAAAACAATTGATCGCCGATGTGTATAACGATCGCGAGTTAAGTGAGTACAAATTATTAGAAGACACGTGTACATAAAAATCAAGTAATGCGACCAGACGTAGTTGTCATTCGCCATTGCGGGGCACGCCGTTACCGCGTGCACTCCATCGCGTACCAGCATTGTGAAATTATTGTCGCGTGTGTATTCCCTCATGTTTGCGCTCGATGTGTATAGCGATCGATGCGGCGTGGTGTAATTATGAAATTACGAGATAAGAAACGTGTTAACGTATTCAAATGGAGATCGCACGAGATGGTGCGCGTTATCACTTCATTTTCTTTTCAGCGTTTCTGAAAAATG